TCGGGCGGTCGGATACTTATGACTGCTACTGTAGATAACTATTATTTTAAGTTCTAACTTTTTTTTCATTTCTTATATTAAATAATTAGTATAATATTTCTTTATTATTTTAAACTTCTTTAGTTAGTTTAAAATAAAGGAATCTATTATACTAAAATTTTCTGTCACATATTAAAGATTATTTAAAAATAATTTTCATTTAAAATTTCTATTAACTTTTAATTCTCATAAATATGAAAAAATAGTTTTAATAAAAAAAAGTTATTCTTTGAGATGTAAAAATTCAATTAATTAATTAACTTTTTAAATATGTTCTGCTATCTTATAAAAGTACTAGATTAGTATTTGAATCATCTTTTATTAATAATTCATATAAATTTAGATACTGATCTAAAAATATTTAATATTTTATTTTGATTACTTAAAATTTGATTTTTTACATAAAGGAGATCTGTTATTAGTAAAATTATATTACATAATATTTGTAATTACTCTAAATATTATCTTTTATGTATATTATCTAATATTAGATTACTGTAAGAACTTGAAAATATATTTAAAAAACATTGATAAAGTATTATTTATTATATAAATTAATAAAAATATAATAAATAAATATATCAAAGAAATAATTATAATCAATATTATTTATTAAATTTTTCAAATTACTGTATATAATCTAAAAGATCATTAAATATAACATTTATTTTATAATATACTATTTTTCACAAATAAAAATTTATATTTATAAAGTATTATAATTATTAAAACTTATATTTTATAAATATATAATATTTTAGAATTTAATAACTTCAATAAAAATTATATTTATTTAATATATTTTTTTTAAGGATTTTGTTTTACAAATTAATTTTTAATTATCCAAAAATTTATCTATTCATTAAATTATTTTCTTTTTATTTATATTATATATTTATTTATATTTATGATTATAAATTCTTTCTTTTTTATTATATTATTTATTTTTATTATATTTATCTTTATTATTTACTTTTAATTCTTTTTTTTAATAATATTAATTTTTTTTTAATGTTTTCTTTATTTTGTTTTTCTTAATAATTCTTTAAATATATTTTATTTTTTTTATCTTATTAAATATTTCTTTATTTTCATTTATATATTTTTTTATTTTTTAATTTCTTTTATTTTATTAATTATAAAAAATTCTATTTGTCTTTTAGATTCTATCTAATTTTTTTATATTTATTTTATTTAATTTAATTTTTTTTTCAAAAAGTCTATTTCTTATTTTTTAATATTTATTATGTATCAATAGTTAAACATTCAATTATTTTATATATATTTTTTTTATAATTTTTTTTTATAATTTCTTTTTATATTATTTTATATTTTATTTTTTAAATATTATTTTTTTTTCTAAATAATTAATATAAATTAATATATAATATAATATCAAACATATTTTTATATTTATTTTAAAATAATTATTATATAATTTTTGTTATTAAAACTTAAGATATTTCTTTTGTAAAATAAAATACTATACCTATTTTTAATAATTTAATATTGATCAATTTTGTAGATCATTCTTCTAATTCTTAATCCTTTATCAATATTTTTTGTTTCTATTTCTAATTTTCATTTTTTAATTTTAAATAATTTTTTATATATATTATTAAATTTATATTATTTTTTAAGTAAAAATTCAAAAAAAAATTAAATTAATTAATAAATTAAGTTTATAATAAGTATTTATACTATTTAAAGATAGAGTTAACTTAAATTAATTTATAAGTTAATATTATTAATTTGCAATTATATTGAAACAAAATATAAGTTTATTTAAGTTATTTTTAGAATTCTATAAATATTAAATTAATATTCAAAATTTTAATAAATTAAATATATAGTAATATAAAATAATATAAAATATATTTTATAAATAATATTTATAGTTTTAAGATACATATAATAAAATTTTATTTTAAAATTTATAATTTTTAAATATAAAAGTTTTATTTTAATAAATTTTTTTAATAATAAATATTTTTTTAGATAAAATCAAAAAAATAATTAATAAAATTTAAATTAAAAATATTAAAATTACAAGTAAATTTACTTATAATTTATTATTATTAAAGTAATAGTATTATAATTATTTAAATTATAATTAATTTATTATTTATAATATAATTTAATAATTTAAATATAATATTAAAAATTTATTTATGATATTTAATTTTTTATTTATTAAAATTTTAAATTATATAATATTATAAATAAATAATATGTTTTTTTTATTTAAATTTATTTTTAGATTATTTAATAGATAATTTTGATTGCAAACTTAAAAAAAAAAAATATTAATTTCTTAATAAAATATAAAATTTTAATTTTAATTTAATAGTATAATTATTATATAAAATATAATTTAAATATATTTATATTAACTTTATTAATAAATTAGTTTTTAAAATAATTTAATTTTAAAATTAAAATTTGAAAAATCTATTATTTAATTTTTTAAAAATTTCTTTAAAAGATCATATATTTATGTATTAATTAAATTATTTACTATAATAAAAGTTATAAAATTTTTAATAACTTAAAAATTATAGTGATAAAGTTTCTAGATAATAAAACTTATAATTAATATTATATTATAATTAATAAAGTTAAAAATACATATTAATAAATTAATAAGAAAATTTCTTAATATAAAATTTTTTAGATTTTAACTTATAAATAATCTTAGATTTTTTCATGGAATTTCAAATTTACAAAAATAATATTAATGACAACTCTATAATTATATTAACAATTTAAAAAATGTGAATTAATTATCTATAATAATCTAATTAATTAATATTTTTTTTTTGATTTTTAAAAAATAATAAAATTATATACTATATTTGTATTTAGTTTACAAATATTATTAGTCATATAATTAATTTAAATACCTAAAACATAAAAATAACCTTTTTTTTATTGAATAATATATATATTTTTTAAATTGTATTCTTACTAATGTAATACCCAAGTACCGAAAGTCATAAGTTTGCCGAATATTTGCGAAACTAAATTCAATAAAGAAACAATTTAAATGATAAAAAAAAATTGTTAAACGTGTGAAATTTCCCAGTTGATTGTGAAATATATTTTCACACGATATAATAATTTCTTGGAATTTTCAGTTTTGAATAGTATTTTCACATGCCACGCTAAATATTTTTTTCTCTCGTCTTACCTTTAATGGTTATTTATAACGCGTTTCCAGCCCTTTCAAACTTCTTCTGGGTTGCAGGATCTTGATATTACAGAAAGAAATTAAGTCAAGAAAGTTATGTACGTTTGCCGAATTTATCTGTATTAACTTTTAAGGACATTGGGGTCACGTCGTTGTTAGATCAATCGATTGTTCTAATATTGGTTGCACCAAGCGAATTTATGATGAATTTAAACTGTAGCTACGTTTTAGAGAAATATAGGTTTTTTATCAATTAATAAAAATTTTAAGGTTTCTGATCAATGTCACATCTGGTTGCTTAAATTTTATTATAACGAATTTTTTGTTTTTAAAAAATAAAATAAGAAAAATAAAAATTGTGAGAAAGGATTCTTTGTAATTAACGCGTAAATTTTTTTTATATTAGACATGTTCTATCATTGGATTATCTTTTAACCAACAAATTTCGTAAATTATATAGTTGTAGAACGAGCGAAAAGGTATTACCTCTTATTAATCAAATGATTGGTTGGAAAAAGGAAATTTGACATGAACATTATCATCGACCCAATAACTTGTTTAATTGTATCACTCACTAATCGAATTTCTTCGTATTTTTGTACTTCGACTAATTTAAATGGATAAACCAATTACCACAACGTCACAACGATTACTTTATTTAGCAAATTAATCTTTCCATACCAATTTTTTTAAATGATTCTCCATTCAAAGATATGAAGGTAATGATATTTGATAGTTTGGGTTTTTTTTTTGGATTTGATTTATTGAATGAGGAGTAGCAATATCTTTTTTTCACATTGTAGAGCGTATTCCGAATTTGTCCTTGTGGTTCATTTGAAATGACCTTCTTTGGCTTCAACCATGGTTAAACTTTTTTCCCATTTTCGTAATGCATCATTTTTATGCGCTTGGCGGAAAATTATTTATCAATCTATGTTTATGATAATATTAGGAAATTGATTGACTCTTACATAAATCAGTCAGTACCACATCTTTAATCGTTGTATTTTACACTAGCGAAAAAAAAAAAAAGGATTTCTTTTTAGTCAAATAATAATAGTAATCATAGAGATACAAAAAGTATATAAACATGGTGAGAATTGACCATATTTACGAACCAAAAACAAAAACAAAAACAAAAAAAAAAAAAAAAAAAAAAAAAAAAGGAAAAATAGTAACTCTATTATTATTACCGACCTTTTCTTTTTTTTTTTTTTTCGTTTTCGTTAAATTTATTTATTTATTTTTTTTTTTTAAAAAAAAAATTCCTTTACCCTAAATGGTTTGAAACACGAGCCATTAATACAAAATAGATTGAATTCAAGGCTTATCTTATACATTTTGAGTGGGACGCGATAAAATTTAAAAACGGTTTTTTTTTTTAAACACGTTCAACCTATAAAAAGCATTCAAACTGGAGTGGGAACCAATTTTGGAAAAGAAAATAATAGAAAAAATGGAATATCGATATCTTGGCCATAGCGGGCTCAAGGTTTCTATCCTCTCTCTTGGTGGATGGGTCACGTTTGGACAGCAAGTTCCACCAGGTAAATAAAATAATCATGATCCCTACAATTTTATAAATATCTTTACACAATATTCACATCCCGTCTCATCCAATGAAAAAAGATGTGACACTTGAAATTATGCAAATTGCTTTTGATCATGGTATCAACTATTTCGATACCGCTGAAGTATATGCCGGTGGGAAATCAGAAATAGATATGGGTAATGCGATTAAGAAATTACAATGGAAACGTTCGGATTTCGTGATTTCCACGAAAATCTTTTGGGGCGGTAAAGGACCCAATGATCGAGGTTTATCAAGAAAGCACATCATCGAGGGATTGAACGCATCCTTAAAGAGGCTGGAGTTGGAATATGTTGATATAGTCTATGCCCATAGACCGGATCCGGATACTGTGAGTATATATGATTATTATCATATTAGTTTTTGAACATCCTGTTCTTAAAATTTCTCTTTTATTCGAATTAAAGCCGATGACGGAAATAGTTCGTGCATTCAACCATGTAATCGAGAAAGGAAAAGCTTTCTATTGGGGAACTTCAGAATGGTCGGCTCAACAGATCATGGAAGCTCACGGTGTGGCTAATAAATTGAACCTCATCCCCCCGCTGGTAATTATAATTATAAAAAATCCGTTAAATCAGTATAAAAATTCTTTTTCTACGATTATTGAATGTTTTAACTTAATGTTTTTAAAATAATAAATTAGGCAGAACAAGTAAGTATTAGAAAGACAAGGTTACAAAATGATAAAGGCATATTAAGTCAAATATTTTAATCACATCTTGCCTAGGTTCAATACAACATGTTTAACCGTGATCGTGTCGAATCGGAATATGAAAATTTGTTTAATGAACATAAAATGGGTGCGGCCGTTTGGTCACCTCTTGCTAGTGGAGTATTAACGGGAAAGCATAATGATCAAATAGCGGAAGATTCTCGAATGAGTTTAACAGATAATGCTGTCATGAAACGGTTAAGAGAGGGTTTATTAAGCGAGGAAGGGAAAGTAAAAATTGATAAGGTCAAGAGATTAAAGGTATATTTACACATGTATATTGTAAATTCACGATGCGCTTCGTTACATTCTGTTGTTAAAATTTTTTGTTTCGTGACATAGCCGATCGCTGACAAAATCGGAGCTACTCCGGCACAATTAGCTCTTGCCTGGTAAGTTTTTAAAAGATTATCTTAATCTTAGATCGTAAAGATAACCAAAAAAAATGGTTTTTTTTTTCATTTACAAAGGTGCTTGAAACACCCACGAGTTAATACGGTAATTACTGGTGCTTCCAAACCCGAACAAATCAAAGAAAATCTTCGAGCCGTTATATTAAAGTCCAAACTGACACCTGAAATCATGGCAGAAATTGACAATATATTAGATAATTTACCAAAACCTCAATTTAATTTCAGAGATTCATAATATCATATATTTATTAAGTTCCTGATAAAGGTTATACATAGATGTTCGATTTCTTATTTTTTTTTTACACCATAAAATAAAGTTAATAAATAATGTTGGTTTATAGATGAACAATTTAAAGTAAATTACCTAAACGTTTTGAATTATCAAATGATATTGTATTATATAAAAAAAAACCCCAACAAAAGAGTAATCTGAAGATCAAACAAATTTAAATAATGTTTAAAAAAAAAAATTTATTTATATTACTTTACATTATTATGACTACATAAAAAAAAAATATTATTATTGTTTTTTTTTTTTTTTTTTTTTTTTTTTTTTTTTTTTTTTTTTTTTAAAAAAAAAATTATTTTTTTAATTTTTTTTTTTATAATAAAAAAAAAAAAATAAAAAAATTAAAATATATTTAAAAAAAAAAAATTTTTTTTTTTTTTTTTACTTTATTATGACTAAAAAAAAAAAAAATTTTTTTTTTTTTTTTTTTTTTTTTTTTTTTTTTTTTTTTTTTTTTTTGGGTTTTAAAAAATAAAGTTATTTTTACAATTGTTTTTTCAACAATAAAAACACGGAGATCAAATGATCAAAAGGAATTTTTTTTTTTTGTTACGGATATTTCGTATTACAAAATAAAATAAATAAAATTCAGAGAAAAAAAGCTTTTTTTTTTTTTCGGGGTGATCATAAATTGGGGGCACATTTTTGGGCTAAAAAAAAAAATAAATAATCTTTATTATTCAAAAATATTATTATATATATATATAAAAAAAAAAGATTTATATTTATAAGGTAATTTATAATTGAAAAAATAAAAATAAAAAAGTACATTAAACAATAGTTGAATGGTTCCTCATTTTTTTTTTTTTTTTAAAAAAAAATGGATCCCAATAAGAATTCTAACATTGAAAAAAAAATCAAATCTATTGTAAAAAGAAACTTTAAATAGATTACAATAAAGATCTCATTGTGTCTTTATATAGAAAAAGATAAGATGAAATCAAATTTTTGTTTTTTGAAATTAGAACAACAGGTTAATAATCAAGTAAGGATTCATCGGCATATTCATCAGACAGAATATAAAGAAAAAGAAAATTTTGTTTTATCGTTATTCAGAACTGAAATCGGGTTGCATTTTGCATTTTTTTTTATGCAATAAAGTTTTTTTTTTTTTTTTTTTAGCCGTTTTTTCCTAATTCGAAACAAAATCAAAAAAAAAAAAAAATCAAAAAAAAATTGAGAGCAATAATAATGGATTTTTTTAATTTAATTTCGGAAATTTCCGATGAATAAAATTTTACTATACGCTCCGATAAATATTTTCTTTTTTCACGAGCAAATCTTTTTATATTTTTATTTTACCGGAGGTGGTGGAGATATTCATCCCTGATAAATAAAATGGCGCATTTAACCAAATCAATCAGTTTAGATAATCTATCAGTAGTTTATTAAAATATGTAATCACTGCGCGATTAAAAATTTTCACAAATGCTGTTTGAAAATGTAAACAAATAAAGACCATATATTTTTTTTTCAAATCTACGATACTGTAAATATAACCATAACAAAAAAGCACGGAAAAAGATAAAAGTTGTCCTTTTTTTTTTATAAGATTTCCTTATGAATAATATTTTCAAAGATTTTTTTATTATTTTTACATTTTTTTTTTTTTTTTTTTTTACGTTGATTGATTGATTGATTTAAGTTTTTACAAACAAAAAGAGAAGGAAAAAAAAGGTTGAGCTATTGTAATAGCTTACTTAAAAGAAGGAATAATCCCAAAAGATGAAGTAAATTTTTTTGAAATTGTAATGAATTTTTTTTTTTTATGAAATATGTAAATTACATCAAATTGCTTCAAAACTCTGTCCAACTTAAAGAAAAAAAATCTCTAATGATCTTATAAATTTCTTTTTCGTTTCTAATAATAATTAAACATACAGTGTAATGTGTATCCTTTCATAATGAATAAAGGATTGATTATTGTGAAATTATTTTGTAATGCAAAAAAAAACCTGAAAGTTTATGTATATTTGTGTAAATTGTATTTATAAATTTATGAAATGTAATTGGTATAAATTTTTCGTCATGCATAAAAAAGAATGTAATCATTCTTTAGTCACATTTTTGTCCATAATTGTCGGCAAAGGAGCCAGACAGCTTTTTTTGTGATCAAATCTAACAAACCTCCCCTGATGCTGAACCTCTTTGTTCTGTTCTTACAGAATCATTTCCATTTAACACTCTATCTACATTTGATCTATTATCAACATTAGTTTCCAATAATTCATGCTCATTTCCATTAGGTAAAGATGCGGATAATCTAGCGTCATACCTCCTGGGTATTGGCGACAGTATACGGGATATATGATGATGATCGTCGGGAACTTCTCCAAAATGATGAGGAATGTTCGTTGTTGAATAAAAATCGTCAGCGAACGAAGATCTTCGTTCTGATCTCTGAATTTGCTGTGGTTGTGGCTGTGACTGTGAATCCATTGGCCAATTAACGCCTCTACGAATGTGACGCCAAGTTGAAAGTCTTGGAACAGGTGGAGATGGCGATGCGCTATGTTCATTGGGATATAACATAGTTGGTTCTGGAAGTTGAGAGGTCGGAAGACGAACCGTTGATGAGGAAGGAATATCAATTCCACGTTGAACTAACTCATCTCTGCGTTCTAAATTTACCGTTGATGATGAATTTCGTGAATTTGAAGATCTTCCAGAAGTATGTCCTGTTATTGATCTATGATGTCTAGATGAGGAATGTCTAGATGAAGACGGCCTCATAAATCTACTTTCATGATGTTGTCTCAACAAATTAACCCTTCTAATGACATTATCTAACGCAGCACTTGAAGAATGATTACGATGTGAAGGATTGATATGATCATTGATATTATTATGTCTTTGAATACCACCATCGTTATTTCTCGTATTATTATTATTATTATTGTTATTATTGTTATTATTATTATTATTATTATTATTATTATTATTATTTATATTGTTATTGTTATTGTGATGAAGATTATTATCTAATGAAGAAACAAAATCATCAAAGGAGAAATCGATTTCATCTTGAGACTCGTCTAATCTTTCCCTAGCAGCGGCAAAAGCAAGTTCACTATTAAGATTCCTATCTTGTAACCTCAGCGCAGCCTGCTGCTGCAATAACTGTTGCTGTGTACGATTAAGATTTAAAAGGTGTGCGGAATGTAACCCACGCCTTGAAGCCAAATTTGATGATGGTTCTCTTGTACGGTGAATTTGATGAAGTTGATGAAGTCTTTGTATGTGTTGCTGAACTACATTATACGGTAGAGTAGTAGACCTTGGCCTCTGGCTCCTTGTTTCTGGCTGAGTCACAAATCTAGGCTCCGGTATATCTATGAAAAGAACAAAAGGTGAGTCAAAAAGTAAACGAAAACTCAAAGGAACTTGCAAACCAAGATTGAATAGTCACCGCTGTATATAGGTAGCGATGAAGTAGCAGGGTTTCGATGAACAAAATCGCGACCATTACCGAAGGCACTTGTTCTAGAGTTTTGGTAAGCTTCTTCAAAGTCGTCTTCGACTGGTGGTGTATATGGTGGTGGTGACGTTGGCTGTTTCGGTGGAAGCTGTCTCTTTGACAGAGATGGTGAAACATACATAGGAAGTCCCATATTTATTTCTCGTTCTCAAAGTATAAAAGCTGAGGTTTTTTTTTTTTTTATAAAAAAAAAAAGGCGAAGAGTTGAATACGAGCAAAACTTTTTTTTTTTTTTTTTTTGTGTTTCTGTTTGGGTAAATGTTGGATCCCCTTTATATATAGCAAAAAAAAAAAAAAAAAATTTTTTTTTTTTTTTTTTTTTTTTTTTTTTTTTTTTTTTCCTCTTTTTTTTTTTTTTTTTTTTTTTTTTTTTTTTTGCAAACACGGAACTTCTGGGAAAATTATAAAAAAAAAATTTTTTTATATTACAATATATATTTTAATACAATAGATAATAGATACCAAACAATTCAGGAAATGGAAAAAAATTTTTTTTTTTACTTCCTCTCGTTTACTTCCCTAGTTTTTCTCCACCTTTTTATTCTTACTACTAAAGTGATGATCACCCCTGTTTATTTGTTTGTTGAGGAACAAGAAAAAAAAAAGGGGGGATCCAATGAATGAATATGATTGAAAAAAAAGGAGACGGAGGGAAACGGTCAGTCACCCAACAGATTTTAATGAAAATTTATGGATTTATTTATGTATGGCAAAAGGTTTACATGAAAGGATTAGGCTACAAAAGAATGGAAAAAAAAAAAAAGAAAAAAAAAATGTGTAATATAAATTATCAATGATGATAATGCATTTTTATTACAAATTGCAGATACAGCAAAATATTATCGTCATATCAGTGTCCGCTCACGAGTTGGACAATACCGCCAAAAAAAAAAAAAATTTGTTATTCGCTATTCTTTCCCTATTTGGCAAAATTTTTAAAAAACTAGCCAAATTGTACGCCATTAGACTTTTTAACCGATCAAAAGATTTTTTTTTTTTTAAACTCCAATTTTCCCTAATTTTTTCGATCGAGTTCCTGTACAAGCGTGTAACCATAATGTCGCGTGATTTACAAACCATTATGCAAATGTGTATGCATACAGTCTAACCATATTCATTCATCTCGAATGGAGTCGCGGGGAACCGGTTCTTGTGTCACGACTGAAAGGAGCTCGTTTGCAAGATTGTACCTTGTGTGATTAGCATCATGACGAAAAGGAGGAAGAGGTCGATGGTGAGCAGATAGAACGATCGATGCTCCAGATAGAGCGAAGTTTGTAGCTGCATTTGTGTCCCTCCTCGTGTTGTATATTTGATCTCCTGCCGGACACCGGGGATGGACACATTCTTGCAGGCGAACAATCCGCTCTTTTCCACTAACGATCCTGCGGGTTCGATGGAGAATGACTCTTGAAAAACAGAACGGACAAGTTTTGGAGGTATTGTACTCGTTGGTTATGCCAACGTGTCCATGAACGCGATGTTGTTCCCGGAAATGCAGCCATCTTGTTGCTTGTCGAAGGTTTCTTTTGCAAAAGGCCGAATCGAACGCTTCGTTCACCCTTGATACGAATTCACTGTCAGGAGCTTCTGAAAATGTGAGGCTCCGGCCACCCTCTTCACGAAAATCTAGGGAATCTACCGTTCTTGAACGTTTTGCCTATGAAAGATACGGCGCAAGAGTAGTTAGTTAATCGCCTAACGCAACAAAAACTGTTAAAGGTTATTTGCATATCGATATACCTGTATATCCGTCTCCTCACTGTTTGATACTCTTTTTCGATTTTCCTTGCCTAGTGTAATAATAAGGTGAGGTTCAAATAATGCAAGTGGTGTGGCGGTGCGGAAATTGTGAAGGCTATTTATACAAATTCCTAAGCTGCGGTTATAGACCCTACATATTACACATTTAAAAAAGAACTGCATTAATATTACCCAATTGTATACTATTGTAATACGAAAACTGGAATGTGTAATTGTGTGCTTTTTTTTTAAAAATATTTCTTTCATTGTCCGAAGCGTAAATATTCAATACATGTTATTTTTGAAATCGGATTTACTTTTTTTATAATAAATCTTTTTTTTTTTTTTTTAATCTTTAGCGATTATTCTTAACAATTAAAGATAATTGTTATAAATATTGTAATTGATGCTAAATTAATAAAGGAAATAAAAATTCGTTATAATGATTTGACTTAAAATTTTCTCATGTCATGTAATTATTGTTCTCACGTAGTGATGGGATCCCTGAATTATTAGTTAATAATTTTTTTTATAATTTATATTTGTAATAAATACTTTAATTTATGCAACAAGCGCAGAATTTTAATTGTGAACTTTATGTGATTATATCACCAAATGTGTGTGAGGTTGCATACCGCCTTTTATCAATTCCACCGAATTCTGCAACTTTCTGAACATTGTTAGGTAATATACATACAGAACGTCGTAATCGACTATCTTGGTATATAAGCCAAAAATCAAAGCAAAATATAAATGGTAGATAATAGTTTTGATGAAGATGAATCTGTAAATGATGATGAAATAGATGAATTTATGAATAATTTAAAACAAATATCTGAAAAAATTATTAGACGATATTCAAGTGTTCAATGACACAAATAGTGAAGAAACAATCCCAACACTTATGTTTTCGATTTTAAAATTGTTACATTTGCGAAATCATAAATTACGAAATGTGATAAATTCGATTTACTGCGTCATAAATTACTACCCAATGAGCTGCGCAAAGATAATTAAAGTTTCTAACTTTAATATCATATCATACATTGTTTTGTTTATTAAAAAAAATTTTTTTTCTCGAGATAAAACAAATATATATTTTCTAGAAACATCCATCAAAAAAATTTTTTTGGTGATTCTTTTAAATTGGTCGAGTCAAATTTTTTTTTTCCAATTATGTATTAATTATATTTTTTTTTTTTTAAAATTGACAATTTCTATTTGAAATCACGGCATGTCATGCATGACATAGAGTTGATTGGATGATTTGTTGTTGATCAGCCAAGCCTCAAATTTTTCGACATATAAAAATCCGTTTTCAATTGTACGTTTTGTTTTTAAGGCCGACTTTGTTCGAAAATAATAATGGCTTCATATATTTTCAGACCATTTGAATTTGTGGTAAGAAACTTTTTTCGGTACCTTTTTTTTTTTGTCTTTTGTAAAATTCTCCCCGAGAAGAATAAATTCAACTGCTTGATCTTTAATTTCTGATAATCATTGAATTATTGATTAATTAAATAGCGTCGCATGGCTGTAGAAAAGCCATCTTACACATGGGCTATTGGTATCGGGTTAATTGGTAAGTGTTTTTATTATTTTCTTTTCCTTTTTAAGTAATTTGGCTTTTTTAATTATTTTTTTTTTTTTTGTTTCTAATAATTATGTATGTAATAGGACCAATTGGAGTTGTGGTTATACCACCTATTCGTAGAAAATACTTTGGATACGTTCCTCCTGAGCGTATTCCAACCACTTATCCAAGTAAGTTATACAAAAAAGATTGATTGTTGATTTTTTTTTTTATTTGTTTCGAAAGAAAAAAAATTTTTTATTTATTGATCATGCATCAACCGAGATTTTTATTGCATATATTTAAAGTTTTTTTTTTTCATCTCTTCGACAATTTGATGATAATGATTCAATCATCACAATCATCATCACATAATCATTTTGAGTTTATCGTTGTTTGCTAATGACTTTTCTTTCCTTTGTTTACTTAGTACCAAAGCGCCCACGTAATTCACCATCAGGTTTCGAAGATCCTGATGATATAAGTAGTTAATAAACAATTTCTTCTTGTTAAAATGAAAGGTTTGTCCGCTTTTGTTGATTTTCTTTATTAACAAGAACGTTTCCGGATTGTATCATCGGAATTTGGATATTATGGAAAAATATTAATTAATTCGACGAATCTTTATGATCGTTAATTCCAGCCGCGTTGATCGATTGGATCACGTGATACTTGTAAAAATTAGAAAAAACTCCAAAAAAAAAAAAAGGAATAAAATTTATTTAAAGGAATATCTAGGTTAATTGGTATTTTCTTCTTCAATAACGTCAATAGATCTTATGCCCTTATGATTACTATGTTCATCTTTTTCAACATCATTATTTTCATTCATTTTTTCGTTAGTAATAAAAAGATTGTCAATAACAAAATCAACTTGACAAAAACTAGAGCCCCTTCTATGTCTAATGGTGGTAAGATTATTATTATTATTGGTTAACAATTCCATTTCTTCATCAACCTTCCCATCATCATCACCATTATCATCAATACAATCATCACCACCATCTAATGATAATGTTATTCCTTGTTCTTGTTCAACTTCATTTATAACTTTCCTTGCACTGATCCAAACATATATTATTACACCAATACCAATACTTATTCCAATAATCATCATTATTGCTTTCAACACATCCTGACTGTTATTATTACTAGTTGTGCTAATATCATTGGTTTCTTTGAGAGTATAATGAGCAGAAAATGAAGATAACTTGCTTCCAATCCAAACATGTATCATTAATTTGAATAAAGATAAGGCGGTTGCTCCTACGAACGTTTTGAATGATAAATGTGTAGCTGACAACAAAGTATTTAACACATTATAAGGATAAGGTGCTAACCTTATTAAGAATAATAACTATAAAAGGAATTAGATTAATGATGATCAGTTTTTTTTTTATAAAAATTCAAATCAACAAATATAAACCAATTTCACACCACACCTTGAAACCCTTTTTCTCAACCGCTGTAATGACAGCATTAAGGGATTTATTTTTATGTAACATCCTTCTAACGGATTTTCTAAACCATTTTCTACTTAAATAAAATACTGTTATGGCTCCTGTAAGAGCTGCCATATATGATATAAAAAATCCTACCCTGAACCCAAATGTAAATCCTGATAAAGTAATTAATGTGCTATATCCAATCACCAATGGGAAAGTGGTTAAAAATATCATTAGATAGAATATCATGCCACCACTGGTGCCCATCGACTTTACCAAATGAGCAAAATTATCTAATATCAAGAAGATTTCCACACGATAACCTAGAAATATGCATAACGTGATTATAGATAATATGGCCCAGATGATAAATGGCATCCATGGTTGTAATTCTTTTAGGAACCTACTTAAATTATTTAATGCGTTACGAATTAAAGTAAATTTATCTGTATGATGATTATTATTATTATTATTATATGAAATGTTATTAAGTGAAATTATACTATTTAATGATGACACTGATGTTGCTTTGCGATGTTTTAACAACTTGATTGATATCTGATTGTTGATCGTTTCTTTTTGTTGTGGTTCAGGGGTCGGAAGTAGAGGTAAATTAATTTGGGAGGTTAAATTGTTTGTTGTGATAGAATTTAATGTAGGAGATTGAATCCTTTCAGATATTGACGTTGATGTGGCTGTTATTGTCGCAACTTGATGTGCTAAAGGTATATCTAATCCCGGTAACTTCATTATTACTACCAAATATTGGGGGGAAATATATATATATATATTATACAGATATTTACAAGGAAATGACGACTAGGTTCTATGATACCAACAAAGGGTTGTTTTTTATTTTTTTAAATAAAAAAAAAAAAGAATATCTCCAAAAAACGTATGTTTCGTCAACTTTTAATACCTTTAAAAGTTACCGCTCTCAACAACAAAAAAAGTTAGTATTTATATAAAAATGGTTATCACGATATTTTATTCACAAAAGAATGGATAATTTATGATTACCCGCCAATAAGGAAGGAAAGTTCAAAAAAGGAGTGTAAAAATAGTCGGAAAAAAAGTGGTTGTTCGAGTAAAGAGAGTTGCTGCACCCGAAACAAATTTATTACATGTGATCTACATTGATGATCTACGGCTTAACTAATAACAATGTGCATGGGTAAATTATTCTGTATGAATGAACCGAGTCAATGCGGCCGCTATACACCGATTTGACGCGGGAAAATTTGATTTAATTACTCGTCCCCAATGAGATTAATGTAACAATCAGGCAAATGTACTAGTTTTTTTTTTTTTTTTTTTTTTTTTTTTTTTTTTTTTCGTCAATAAATATAATTTGGTGGCAAATTATAATTTCTATTTATATACATAAAGCATTTGCTTTTGCATACTCTAATGTGAGACAACTTTAATAGACTTAAAGGAAAAAAAAAAATTTTTTTTGTTAAGGCGCAAAAATATGGCGTAATCCTATTAATAGAAATTATTGCAACAAAAAATTTTTTAACATTTCTGATTGTATTAACATATTTGTAGTTCAAAGACAACCTTGTTACTACGATTTACCATCTCATACTTACTTTATTCAGATAATGTCGTAATCTGTGCACGGTCTAACTTTAAAAAAAACTTTATCCTGGATCGTCACGTGAACAATAACCATTGTGAGAGATTTAAGGTTTGTTGCAGATAATATGGTAAATCAAGAAATATACCAGATCCTAACTAAACTACCCCCGTATAAAATATCCCTTATATAGATGATAATTATCAATAAAAATTTCATATCGTCATAATCAAAAATCATATCATCTTCTAAACCATCAGTTTTAACTAAAATACCATAACATTTGAATCAACTTTTTTTTCCCATGTTATCTTTATTCATAAAGATAAAAATATGATGGCTTTTTGATATGTTCAGCTGGAATTAGATCACGAACTTCATTTGTCATCCAATCATTATAAAGTTCACGAACCTAAAGAAAATTCTAATTTTTAATTTGTATTATAATAAATATAATAATAAATAAATAACTAATACTTATATTAGATTTAAAGCTTTTATTAACTACTACATCAAGAGATTGCAATTTAAATGTTAATCCATCAGGAATTACTGCTATATTAATATGAACTTCTTCAATTTTTATTTAATAGAATTAATTAAATAACCATAAAAAGAATCAAAAATAAGTAGAGATTTAGGTTTTAATAATGAATCAAAAGTTCTTTTAGACCAAATATTATCAATCCACCAATTTATTTCTTAATCCTTTTTCATTATTTCTAATAAATACATCATTAGAAAATTCTTCTCAGGGTTTATTTTTCAATATAAAAATAATAATAGGAAATAATTTAGATCTATTAACTATACAACCTAATATATCTGTAAATATACTTTTTTCATATGCTATAATTTTACTAGAAGTATATTTTACTAAAGTATAAGAATTAAATAAATTAAAAAAAATTGAAGTTTTGTTTATATTTGTAATAAATTAAGGTAATTAATCATGTTGTATCCTTTATAAAGTGAAATTTTATTTATATTTAAGCAAATATTCTGATAAATAGTTGTTTTTTATCTATTTGATTGATTATGACAAACTATAAAGCAATTTATCTATTTTTGTAAAAATTTAAATGAAAATTCATTAGGATACTTTTCTTAATATTCTTCAGTTTATAAAAGTTCTTTAGCTTTTTTATTAGCATATGTTTAATAATTGATAAATATTATATATGATAAATAATAATCTATTCTGCTAATTCTTATTCTAATTCAGGAAAAAATGATTATCTTTTACTATGTAATTTTAATAAACTAGGTAACAAGAATTATTAGAGCGTATGAAGCATCTCATCACTAAAAAAAAGTATTATGTAAATAAAATACATACTTTAATACATTACATCTGATTTCAATTTCTGATTGGCTATATTATGTATGTAGATAGACAATATAAACATAGTTTACAATAGAATAAACATATCCTACACTTACGCTTCAGATAATAAGATGCAAAAGATTTTAACATTTTCTTTTTTTCTTTAATCATAAACTTAACTTAGTTTTTAAACTAAAATGTTTTTTATTATACAACTATTTGAATTTTTTAAAAAATATAAGATTATTAATTTTTCATATATATTATTACCAGTGATGAGTATTGGAAGTTTCCAATAATTTTTATTAAAATTGAAAATATTATTAGAATTAGAAGAATTGAAAGTCTAAAAGTACTACCAATTTTCACTTAATATAAAATTTATGTGTTTATAGATAATGAAAACTTACAATATCTTTTTATTAGAATTAAAAATATTACCGTATTCTTCTGAAAATAAGCAACCTCCGAAAATAAGCAATCCTCAAATTACTTAGTATCTAAAAATAAGCAACATCTCAAATTTTACATCAAAACAAAATATAATGTTATAAAAAAACACTTAAATAATAAATAAAT